CTAATTTTCATTCAAATTTCAAATTTTGTTTACTCAGAAGTGTTACAATTTTTTTTGAATATGAAGCTTTATAGCCGATTCAATTTTAGTGTGATAATGTGCAAGTTTCAAGAGCCTTAAAACCTTTGATTCTTTTTGTCGCATTCGCTACCATATAACGAATAAACACAATTTATTTTTATATGGAAGAAAACTGCAACAACGGAAATTTTTAGCCACTTGAAACTTGCACATTATTGCAATAAAATTGAAAGGGCTTTAAATCTATATACTCAAAAAATTCTGAGAAAATAATTTTGACATTTGCTTTGAAATGAGGTGCTCTTGATATGACTGCATGTACATTAGGGTGGTCCAAAACAGTAAAGTCGGAATTGTAATGATTGTTCTATATATAAAAAAGTGTACCCCTATTTTTTTAATTTTAAAATCAAAAAATATTTAGAGGTCGCTCAAAGCGCTCAAAGTTTTCCATGTATTTTTATATGGGGAAAAATAACTTTTCGTAGAAATGGTATAGAATTCTTGAAAATCAATACTTTCGATCGGAAAACTCTGGTTCTCTTCAGGAGACTTACAATAATAATACCCAAGTATTTATTTAACCATTTTTTAATACTAACGATTTTTTATTTGTCCCCCCACTGCATTTTTCGAGGTTTTTGAAATGTTCTACTCTTCCACACACAAATCTGAAATGTGCTACTTTTCGACGCGAATAATGAAACGTGCTAGTCTTCCACGGTAATTTGAGATGTGCTACTCTTCGTCGCGAGCGGCGATATTTACAAACATATTTCGGTATTTCTTTTTAATTAGATCGTGAGTAATTTAACCGGCAGTTGTCTTAAGTCTGTCAAACTCAAGAATTTCCCAAAAATATCCAATATTTTTTTTTTGTAAGCGTGAACGAAGAAAATACTAATTACGATCACAGCTACATACATATGTACGTAGAAGGTTAAATAAGTGTTTGCTCTCAACAAATTTACCTAAAGCACAATAAAATTACATATCTACTGTTTTGGTGCGACTGCTAACATCGGGCGCCTAAATGCATGCTATATAAATTTATGAAATTTTTGCATATGCACTTCTCAACTGCCACTTAATAAAACTTTCTTACGTTGTACTCCCTTATTCTAGAACCCGAGTTTTCGTTATTCGTCATTCGTAGCTACGTTATGAAAATCGTGCTGCAACCGTTGCGGAAGCATGTGCAGCATTGCCACCTATCAGTGGTTTTTCGAAGACAGTTGTATGAAGGAAAACAAAGTGGAAAGGAATTAAAAAAACACTCATCAAGTGCTTATTTATAGAAAAAAATTTTCATTACATACATATTTAGAATAAAACGATGGATTCTATTGCATTTGCAATTATAGCAGCGGAGTAAGATCGTGCTGTGGAAATGGATCCACAAAGATTTGCGTCGGTTGTCGGGCATAGTAACCATGGACGCATCTACATATGTCAGCTTCTGGTTGAATTGTTAAACCAAAAGCCATAACTCCTCCTATGCCTGAAGAACTGGTTCTCAATCAGTGTTGCCACTATTGGCCTTTTTCGACTAAATTTGGTCGGAAATAAGAATCAAAAATTTTGTACGCCCAAGTATGGCTTTGAAAGTCCTTCACACAATTTTATATCCCGCGAACAACAAGTCTGTTTTAGTGCTATTCAAGACCTTTAATTTAAGCCTAGGTAGAAGTCTCTAGGCCCTTTGAGAGCTAAATTATTACGATTCTGAAGTTAAACTTCGAAATTTCATTCGACATTTTACGCAATTTTTTTTCTAATTTCGGAGTAAAAACTAGTGCAGCAAACATTTAATCTTAAATAAATGAATTTTATGTATGCTTTCCGAATGCTTTTCTGTAATTGAAATTTATTTGGTAGGTTGTAAACGATTTTGGTCGGATTTGGGAAGAAAATTGGTTGGAAAAAAATTGTTAGTGGCAACGCTGTTCGCAATCCAGTTAATGCAATAACAACTTCTTCCAAGCCATTGAAACTGCACTTTGCTGGGTCCACCACCTGTTGCGCTTGCTTCTGCCCTCGGCCGCGCTTAGGGATTATAACCCTTACTAAGAAGAACTCTCCTTTCTGTGTTGCCGGAGAGAAGGGGCTTCCGCATGTCAAAGGCATAAAGCATTTCTTATACCCGCATCGAAATTTACAAAAAGTGCATAATGCAAACCGAATTTATTGATAAACTAGTGCTCGGAAATTTTAAACATTTCTTCTAAATTAAAATTTAATCCTTAGGTTATACGTGTATGTTAAAGTCTTTAGATGCGGGTTATGCGTTTGGACACAATAACCGAAAATCATTGTACAAATAACTAAACCGTACCCAAGTTGCTCGATAAGGGGCAACAAACATCGGGGCATATTCTCGTACGAATCGAAAATGACAAAAAAATTTCATCAATTTCTATACAAAAAATTTCAAATCTTCGAACATATTTTATTTGGAAGAAAATTCGTGAACAAAAAATTGTCAAAAATCAACACTTACCTACATATGTAGCTATTTCAAATTTGCACTTTATTGTACTAAAATTTAAAGAGCTGCGTACTCAAAAAAATTCTAAAAAATCTGATTAAACAGTTTCCAATTTTGATGAACGTTTCTTAAAATTGTGGAAAAAGTAAAAGAATCGGCTAAGAACCGGCCAAAAACGGCGATGCCGATGCCGATTATTTTGGCCGATACTTGCCGATGCCGATTAATCGGTCGGACTCTACTCAGATATGTGTTTTTGAGCTATAACTCTAACTTCATATCTAAATTATAAATTGTATGCGTGCTATATATTAAAATGAACCTATATCAGTTGTATGGGAGCTAGATGTTATAGTAAACCGATTTCGATCCTTTTAAGAGATAGTGAATTTAAGCAATTTTTCATGTACCGCTATTTCGAAAAGTGAAGCCAATCGGGGAAAACTGGGGACGCCATTGAATTTAGAAGGCTCCAATTATGTTGGACCGACTATCAGAACCTTTGTCGAGAAACAGCATCATTAAAAGTAGTAAATCGGGGCTTTTACACACTTCTAGAGAAAATTTTTTGAAGCATTTTACATGTATACATATGTAACGTTATAAGTACTAGTAATTATAAAAAGATTTAGATCGTTTCGACGTATTTTCCAAATGTGCCTTCAATTAAGATTGATTCAAAACTTTTTTGAGTCTACAAATATACGTCTATGAATTATATCCAAAAGCAAAAGCTTAATATAGTTTACAACAATGAAAATAAAGCTACATAAATAACACAACGGTTAGCAGCTTTTTAGACTTGCCCATATGCGAAAGGCAAATTTAAAAGAACACCGACTAATATTTCCTGCAAACACACATCAATTTACATCTTTTATCTCGCTTTCGACACAGAATTGTTTCCGTACAAAATTACGCAAAAAAGCTGTCAATTTCTTACTCGTTCGTTTTTAGGCATGCCATTGTTACGAATTTCGAAAGTTCAAAAATACGATTCGGATTGCAGCATACTATTTATACGATTCGTAGTAAAATCCGAATACGAAAGTGTTGCAGAATAGGGGTGATAAACTCGTGGCACTTCAAAGGATGCTCGGCCTAGTTTGATGCATCCTCTGGACGCTGCTTTCGGGGCATTTTGCGAACTCTGCAGGCTTACAACCATGCAGAGGTGGTAAATGAACTTTACCATTGGCCACAGTGCCTACTCACCTTTTGTGATCAAATAATTTCCTTTTCATCTACTGTTTACTACTTTCATTATTATTTTTAAACGACTTCAAAAAAAGCGGTTATCAATTCGACAGAATATATATATTTTTTTTGACGTAGAATACGTCTTACCTTAAGGTATGGGGGCTATGTTCAAATGTTGTAGTTGTAATTTTTAGAGCTTTACAAAAACGCTTATTGCACGAGAACTAATAAAGCGATTTCAAAGAAAAGTGTGGCGTTTCAAAGATAAAATTCCAAACCTGTCGACAGATTCATTTTTGTAAATAACCAATTCGGTTTCTGTCGTAAAAACAACGGTAAACATTGCCTTATTTTGGGGTCAATTTTGAGCCTTTAAAGTGCTCTAGCAACTTATTGTTGGCATATATAACTTTCATTTTCGGGATATAGGTTCTTTGGAGCAGTAGAAATATTATCGGGTACAAATTTTATATAAATTTAACAAATATTGAGCATTTTAAGGCAAAAAATTGTTGAAAAAATTTGCAAATTTTTTTCATTACCAAAATGCTCGAAAACCGCTCGAATGATTTTGTTTTTGTTTTCTTTAATCAAAAATTCAAGAGTTTTCCTTTCGTTTGGTATATGGGAAGTATTGGTTGATATCTTCTATATATGTTTATTTTATTCAAATATATGGGCATAAATGATTTTCCATACAAAATCACCTCGTCATCATTTTGCAAACACGTGCATATGTTGGAAGTGTGGGAAGGAGACAAAAAGTATGTATGCGTATGTAATGCGGCTTTTGATAAACAGAGGCGCGCTATTTATAACCTAATCGCAGCGTGTGTACATATGTAAATACATACATACGTACATATGTTGATTGCAGTTAATGTGGATCTGTTTCTATTCTTAGTGTGTGATTTCGTTTTTGACTTGGATATGCTCTTAACCATACCACGTATTCTACGTTTAAATATAGCGGCTGTATCTCCGATACAGCCTGCAGACCAAGACGAAGGCGCTGGACTGTTCCTTTTTTTAAGGTGTATTACCGCATAACTTTGGACCACGTGAACCGTTTTCGATAATTCTTTTTTTTCGGAAAGGGTGTATCACACTGGGGGCATATTCCAGTTTTTGTACGAATCGAAAATCACGAAATTTTCCTAGCATTTTCTATGCAAAAATTTCAAATATTCGATTCGTACGAATACATGACTACGCCTCACTAATTTGTAAATTTATTGTTGATTTTATTTTATTATTCAGTAATAAATTTAAGTACAATTAATTTTTTGCTCTTTATTTTCAAAAGACTCCCGATATTCGCACATTTCTGGACATTGCTTTGCCTGCAGCATATATTAGAAAAGGAGATGGTGTTGACCAAGCTACAGCACCTTCCACAAAACCTTCAAAGGATGAAGATATATCCAGACATTGTTTGTTTGAGGAAGAGCAACATCGCGCTGTTCTAACGCATAGCTTCTTGCCACTCGAAATCGAAGAACTACCACATGAGGCCAAGGATGTACTCAAACGCTTGCTAGAGGTGGATCCAAAACAGCGTTTGCATTCGGTCTTGACACTGCAAAAAATCGCACTATACAAAAATTTTAAAATTGATTCAAAATATTTGCTCAATGTAAGTTGATAGTATGTAACTGTGTTTCTTTTAACGCACATATCTATGCGCAAATCTCACGAACGCGTTTTTGATCGAAAATGGCGGCACACTTATTCCATCGCGAAATTTTATTTAAATAAAAAACTAAGAAACGTATCTATATCTATGTACGTTCTTATGTATACATAGTATAGTCTATATATAGTATAAAGGAAAGTCAAGATTCTTTGAAATCTTGAAAACTACGGAACGGATTTGGACGAGATTTTCTCTAATATATGTATTCTTAGCGATAAGAGAGTGACCTTTTGGTATTTAACATGTCTATAGGGTTGCCACCTGTATAAAATATTATAAGATCCGCACCGTTTTTCTGAAGTGAGATGTCAAATGAAAGGCTTTGGCCGGTAGGTGTTCAATAATGTATTATCTTTTAAGTAGGGTTGCCACCTTTATAAAAATTATAAGATCTTCACCGTTCGTTGGACTAAAAAATTACGTACCAAGTGAAAAGATATGGTCTCCGGATGTGCAATAAGCTTTTATTTAATTTTAGTGGGGTTGCCACTTATATAAAAATTAGCATTAAAGGCATTATTTGTTAGCTACATCAGATTTGCACAGTTCATTCGATTAAAAAAAAATAGGTTTGAAAGAAAAGGGCTTGGCCTTCAGATGTGCAATAAGGTTTAATTTTTCGATAAGGGTTGCCACCTTTTTAAAAATTATGAGATCTTTGCCACTCGTTGAATTATTAAGATGATTAAAAATTATGTGACTTAATTTTGTTAACAATATACAACATTTAATTTAAAGAATCTATTTGTACAAATCGAATGTAATTAACAAGAAACGCCTTGACGTATTATAAGTAAGGTAGTAGTTTTTAAATAGGTGACAACCCTACTAAAAATAAAGGTTTATGGTGGATGTGCAATCCAGAGACCGTTTCCTCTCACTTGGTACCTATTTTTTTAAGTGCAATGAACGGTGAAGATCTTATAACTTTTATAAAGGTGGCAACCCTACTCAAAAATAATACAATATTGAACACATAGACGTCAATCCCTTTCATTTTAAATCTCACTTTTTGTAATTCCACGAACAGATCTTAAAATTTTTTAGATGGGTGGCAACCCTATTGAAATTCTAAGTACCAAAGGTCCCATCGTTACAAATTATAAAAGAGAAAATCTGGACCAAATTCGTTCAGTAGTTTCCGAGATTAGCGTGTTCAAAGAATCTCTAAACATAAAAAGAATATAAAAAACTGGAAGGTCGTTTTAAAAAGTAGCATGTAGCTCCGTTGTTTTTGGTACTAGTACTTTAAAATTTTTATTGAATCTGTGAAAAACACAGTTTCCGAAAAAGTGTTGGTTAGGCCTTTGTGAATTAAGCTAACGATATGTACTTACACATTTACATATACATACATATGTATGTATGTGTTTTTTACTCTCCTTTCAGCTCAATGATTTATGAAACTTATCTTTTAATTAACTTTGTATACTCCATTTGTGAATACTTCTTTACCAACAATAATTTTCTTTGCAGCTCCGTCCAATGGATCTGATAAGCCCTGAAGATATTGTTGCCTTTACACATTCCTCCGAAGACGAAAGTGACTGGGAAGAAAGACAATTTTACAAATTTTAAATCCAACAATAATTAAGTAATATCAGTCAAGTCTATACTTCTATTTAATACAAAAGGATTCATGTATGAATTCCTGCAGAACAAAATGTGTCATATACATACGTACAAAAAGTTTCGATATAACGGAGATGAAGGGTTTGAACAAATGCTACGTTATATTTACAGTTTCGTTATATTTATAGAATATCAAAACCTCGATATAACGAAATTTGCAAAATTGACAAAAAAAAAGTGTTATAAGCAGATCTGAGCGACACCTACTGCGAAGTACCCTCCGGGTAACGTGGTGTGTTCGTATACACGAAGTTGCAAGCGAAAATTAATTACTGCAATGAATCTCAAGAAAATGGTCAAGAAAAAGTTGCCATTATTTCGTGTGTAAATCCAAGGAATTTTGACATCTGATAATTCACCAGCCTGTTGCCACGCTCTTTCCTCAAGAAATAATGGAACGGACATATATATGTACATATATATCTGTTGCAAGCATGGGTTGCCTTGTGCTCTTTTTTCACAAAACAACTTTAGAAAACTGTAGTAGAAAGCGTAGAAAATTTCTTAAGAACTGCGTACTGCCTCAAGAAAATTTTACACAAGAAAATTGCTTAGCCATTTCTTCTACGTCATTTTATACGGAGTTTTTGCTTTTCTTGAGAGCCGCATACTTGCCATAAAATTCAACGCGCTAAAGTAGATACATAACCATAAAAATATTCACACTTTGCTATGTAGAGGCTGGCTATTGATTCGACACTTTGTTTGCATGCTCAAAATTTCTTCGTTGCGTCTGTGGAGCATTTTGTTGGGAAAATCTCGCAACAAGGCGGTTTTTTCAGGGTCCCAGCAAAAATTTCGTTTTATAAAGGTTCGTTATATCGAAGTTTCATTGTACTATAAATAAAATGTACGGTTTTTTGAAAATTTGTGTTTCAGAGTTTTAGTCCTATAATAAAAATAACTTAATAAAAACATAATAATCTGAAGAAAATGAGTTGCATAATGCGGTACAGAAGCAAAAAAATAAAAATAAAATTTAGTACATAATAGGCATACGTAGCCTTTGTAGTGTATATTATAATTACACAGTGCTACAAAAACAAATTGGTTGCATTTACTTTTTATGTCCTGTAGTCAGGGCCGTTGAGAGAAAACTCGGGTCCGGGGTTAAAAAAATCACGGGCTCCCATATATAAAGTGTATAAAGTTAAAAGCATATGGCCCAAATCGCCGAAAAAGAAACCGAGGGGAACAAATTTTTTTTCTCAGGTTTGGCAGATTTTTGATTATATCTGGGTCAAACATATTCTGAGGTATCAGACAATATACATAAATATTAACACGAATCACCTTCCCTCCCTTCCAAATTTAAATTAAATTTCGCGTCGATCTATTCGTGGCGATTTTTTTTTAGATATTTTTGGATGTATGTACATAGCTCAGTGGTTAACGCTTCTGACTTTGAACATCGATTACGCAGGTTCGATCCCTGCTGAAGTCTAGAAAAAAAGAAGTCTGATGAGGAGATGTGGTGATCTCCGAAATAGCTGCTATAACTTCTACCGCTTAGACTTTGTTGCTTTTTCAATTTTTCCTAATAAACAATCGTGGTACAAGGCTCAGTAAAAATATTAAAAATAAAATGTTAATAAGCCACAATAACATTGACAAATACATGCTCTAGTTTTCTGTTTATATATGTTGAAAAATTAAATAAAAAAAATTCACGTTGAATGCTCCCTCTTTTTTGGAAAATACTTGAAATTAATTTCAAATGTCTGCAATTCTTTAAAAAAATATTCATAAACATTTCTCCATAGGATACATTTAATTACAAAATGTATTTCATTCGTTATCTATACTAATATATATTTTGAAAGCCGTTTTTTCGCTTTTTTTCTAATCGAAAAACTCGAGAACAGCCGATATTATTGAAATTTTGGACATCGACTCTAGATTTGAGGGTCGAGGGTAGTTTAGAGATATATAATATCAACGCCAAACTCATGGAAAAAAATGGCAGTTATTGAAAAAGGGGGCGTGGAACCTCCCATACAAACTGAATTTCTCACACCACATACACATTCCAATGTGAGAAATTCAGTTTGTATGGGAAGTGCCACGCCCCATTTTTCAATAACTCCCATTTTTTCCATGAGTTTGGCGTTGATATTATATTATCTCTATACTAAGTTGCAGCACTCTTCGATGAATACTTCCAGAGATATGTTGTGTGAAAACTTTAGTTTGTATGGGAGGTGCCACGCCCATTGATATATCGAAATTATTCTTCTTCTATTCTCATCATTTGAAGGTCTAGAGTCGATGTCAAAAATTTCAAAAATATCGGTATAGCTGCTCTCGAGTTTTTCGATTAGAAAAAACCGCTTTGAAAATAAATAAAAAACCAGAGCTTTTTTTGAAAAATCACCAGGAATGGATCGACGCGAAATTTAATTGTCTTAGTGGTGAAAACGGCTCAATTTTCTAAGTAAAAAGTATTTTGGCGGAAATTTCTTGCACTATATGAGTCAAAGCCGTGTATGTGGAGGATTAAGTTCCCGATACTGCAGTTGTGAATTAAAAAAAAAAAAACAATGTTTAACAAAACGGTAAAAAATTATGAAATTTCGCCGNATTTTGGCGGAAATTTCTTGCACTATATGAGTCAAAGCCGTGTATGTGGAGGATTAAGTTCCCGATACTGCAGTTGTGAATTAAAAAAAAAAAAACAATGTTTAACAAAACGGTAAAAAATTATGAAATTTCGCCGCTAATCATTTCGATCTTTCCTCGACCTCATTTGTAAAGAAATGAATATTGTAGCAGCATGATGGTAAGTTATGTATATGCTTCGAGCCTGATGGTAAAATCACTTGATGGAGCCAGCAAGCTGGTGTCGTATATTTTCCCTTTAATACAAAACGGTTGTTGATTGGAAAAATATTTGCTTTTTTCCAGAGTTCATTGTTTTTCTATACCATTACTTATTGAAAATGTTTGCGTGTATGCTTTTATATGTATATGTAAGGAAAAAATTTTAGCTACCATTTTTAGCCACAACGACTTCTTTTAGTTCTTTTTTAGCCCTTTTTAAAGGAATTTCTCTACCACTAAAAGTGATTCGCGGCAACACTGCTTATATAACCAGATTTATTGAACTCTTGCATGTTTTAATAGTTTTATAAATTCGTACATACATAACGTCGATGTTTTTGCAAAACCGCCCATCGCCCAATTGCCAAACCGCCTATATTACGGCACTCAAATTTTACAGGTGAACGAAAAGGCGGTTTTTCTTTGGAGGCATTGCCTTGTTAGGCAGTGTTTTCTCTAGCTATTATTTTACAAATCTGTTGTTATATTACCGATTTAACGATTTTTATGCATAAATCTCGATGCCTGAAGTTCAGGGTTACCAAATCTCTTTTTTACCACAACGGCGATTTAGGCGGTTTTGCAACTGGTCGAACGGCGGTTTTGCAAAAACATCGACGATATGTACTTACATATCATGTACGTATGAATAGTAAACTATGTTACCATCTCATAAGCTGGTAACAAAGTATTGCCCCGTGGAATATGCAATGGCAGAATTTGCATAGTTGCTGAAAATTTTAACTGCATTATCCACGTACCTAGAATCGACTGACGTTTATGCAGGAAATAGTGCTTTTTGCGTTCCCGTACACTTCTGTAACTGTTCCCCTTTTACTCTCACTTGAGAAAGTAAAATTGTAGTTTGCCAACTGTGGATGTAGGCAAAGCCGTCAAACGGAAGTCATATTTTACCATCTTTAATACGCCATTTCTGATTTATTGTTAATTGCCTGGCCAAAGTAAAATAAGAATGAAAGTAAGAGGTTGCTAATGAAAAGAAAATGTGGGAAAAGCATTTTGGTTTTGTTTTTGTGTAGCAAAACTGCAATGAGAGGATGTAAGAAATGTCATCGAAAACACTAACAGCCGGTGTGAACAGGCTTCAGCCCACAATTCCAAAACTCGTTTTCAAGGTGTTTTCGTTGTCGGTCAGAACATGGTATAACGTGCAAAACAAGGCGAATTCGCCTTTCCACCTTGTATAAATTCGCCTTGCCTTGGAACTTGTTTGCTGTCAAAATCAGCTGCCAATTTTGACAGCAAAAAAGAAACATTGCAAAAGATCCACGTTATGTTGGTTTTTTCATCTTTTTGACCAATGATTTTTTTATCTTTGCCTCATAATTTTACAAATACGCTTTGAATGTGAAGCGGCAGCCACTAAAAAAATATTGCCAGAAATTACGTGTCACAAACTGATAACATTGATAAATAAACACGGATCCTTTGAGGCTTCCTAACGCTGGCAAAAGTGCGGCAGATAGTTAATGTGGGGAAGCGATCTGTCCAATGTTTTTGATTAGAGCAATAAGCCAAGCTTTGACCTTTGCAACTACGGAAATTTGATTAATAGGATAGTACAGAAAACACATATATTCTGCGAATAAATACGTAGATTAACGTAGAAAAACTAACAGGTTCAACTGGTGTCCTCAGGAAGCTTTGACAAGATTACATGTCGGCGCACAAGTTGCGAGTGTCTTCGAGAGAAAAGTGGTAAAGGGAGTCTGGCAACATGGCATTTCAATCGGTTGTGCGTTTCTATATGGAGATACCGACAGTGACGCGCATCTATACAACAGCATGTGTTCTGACAACGCTGGCGGTGGTGANGCTTAAGTAACCAACATTTTTGGACACCATGAATTTTTTAATGTATTCTGAAGAAAATCCCTCTCTTAAGTACCTCCCCGCTTATGTACCCAACCCGCCTTAGTACCTCAATTTTTCATGCCCCATTTACAATTTTACTTATAATTTTCCCCTTTTAAGTGCTCTTTTAAAATTCCTTAAAATATTTATGTATTTTGAAATTCAGTAGCAGCGCCACACACCTTCGGTAAAAAAAATTCTAAAAAAATCAACGGTAACTTTTGGCCACTTGAAACTTGCACATTATTGCACTAAAATTGAATTGGCTAAAAAACTGTATACTCAAAAAACACTTCTGAGAAAAAAGTTTGAAATTATGATGATTTTTTTTTTTAAGTGTTCTACAAAATCTTAAGCTTAGGTTTATATGGTATTTGTTAGGGAATGAACTGCATTTTAATTGATTGAAAAATCTTAAAAATTAATAAATAAACATAAGTGGCAAACAATATTATTGTGAATTTGGTACAAAATGATATGTCCAACTTTGACTTTTTAAACAATTTATTCTTGTAAAAAAGATATACCATTGCACTAAATATTTTTTTTAATAAAGTTTTTCTTTACATGTTTATGTATTTACATAATGCTACGATTTTGGTTTTTAACTATGTATACTTCATTAAATGTTGTTATTCAAGTATTTATGTAAGTTAACAAGAAGATGTGAATGAATTTTTCGTGAGGTACTTAAGCGGGTTTATTGTATAAAATTTGCTCCAGCTTTTGCTGAAAGGTAAATAAAAGCTCTGCGTACATTTTTAGCGCATAATGTCAAAAATGCCAACTTTTGAGTTGTGACTCTTTTGAAGACAGTGTGCGATATGTATGTAAATATGTATGTATGTAGTTCGTATGTTTCTCTTTTTTACTCAAAGTTATTGTCGTATGCTCGAGGAGAGCTTCTTCCGCGATCGCACCGCTGATTTTGTTATGATGTTCCTGTTTGGAGGTGGGCTAATGGTTTTCTTTGGACTCTTCGTAAATCTGCTTTTTCTCGGGCAAGCTTTCACATTAATGCTAGTTTATGTATGGTCACGCCGAAATCCGTTTGTGCGTATGAATTTCTTTGGTGTGTTAAATTTTCAGGTAATTCCCGTTCTTTAAAATTATGTAATCACTAAAGTAAACTTCAAGCCGTAGAAGTACGACTCTTAAAGTAGTAGTGTGTCTATGCCTAATTGTATCCCCTTGCAGGCGCCTTACTTGCCATGGGTATTAATGTGCTGTTCAATGATACTGGGCAACACTATTTGGGTCGATGTTGTTGGTATGGGTGTAGGCCATATTTATTATTTCCTTGAAGATGTTTTTCCGCTTCAAGCTAACGGCTATAGAATCCTCAAAACTCCGCATTTTTTGTAAGTCCCTAGATATTAAAATGCTCACATGCTGAAATTTATAACTAATAAAATGTATAAATCTTCATAGAAAAGTCTTATTTAACGAGCACATTGATAATAACAATCCTCCGTGGGTTGGCGACCGTCCAGGTGGCTTCCAATGGGGTGCTGATGAAGGAGAAAACTTGGGCGCTCAAGCACCAAACGTTGGTGCAGGTGATGGCAACGACGCTAATTTGAGGCGGTAAAACTTTCTTGTTTTATTTTTTTTTGGTTTTGTAATTTTATCACCCATTGTACTGAAAAAATTGCACATTCATTGCGAAAATGCATACGTAAGAAGGAAATGGCTTAGCACTTAAAAAAAGTATTGAAATAGTAAGACGGCAATAAATAAACCAACTAAAGATTTCTTTTATATTTGTAAATTTTCGGTGAAAGCAGAAATTTGTTTTAAGTCAGCTAATGGATTAATTGGTTAGCTTTTATGATGTGAAGTATGTTTTTTACCGTTTCCTGGTATAACTTATTCTTATACAACATGAAATATATCATGAATATGAAATATAAATAAAACTAGTTTTATTTCAAGGCATTGAAAAAGTTGGTTAACACGTTTTCGAATAACTATTGAAGACGTGGCTAAGCAAGCACTTTTTCTACGTTATGTTCAAATTCAAATTGTTTGCCAATTTTCAGAAATCACAGTGGAAAATAACTTTTAGGGCCGTTAGGACATTGAGTTAAATACAACGACTCCTTTATCGATTACATGTTAAATGAACTATGTCGAAACAGTCGTTAGTGTGTGGCACGCAGCTTAGAAACTCAAATAGCTTCTGAAAATTAAATTAAACTCGATGGCGCTGCACAGCAATTTACACTTTTGCTTGAAAGCTCTGTCGAAACAATCGTATGTGTGTGAAATACTAATAATAAAAATAAAAATGTTAATTGAAACAGCACATTATATCAAAGTATCATAAGCAATAACCGCCTAAGTCGAAACACTTGAATTCGAGAAAAAACGTTTTAAACATTTGAATCGTAATGTTATCCTTATGGGGTAACCAAAATATGTTCGTCTATAATTTTTTAAATAGCCTACACAAATACAAATGGAATAGTAGTTGCAGAATACGATAGCATATATAACTCAATTCTTTCTTAAGTCGACTCAGGCGGTTATTGCTTATGACCACAGATATATGTATACTTAAGGATACATACGTACATACCTCCCACTTTAAAAGGAATACAATCAACAACTTTGACTAATCATTTAATCATTATTTTGTCTGCAAACCAAACTTGACAAGGGATGACGGAAATTCGTTCCAAAATAAATAATCATTTAAATCTTTATTGCTATTTATTGGGATTTTTATGACTTCGCTTTGGAGATTTCTGCGTCAGTTGGTTTCATTTCATTTTTTTATTGTTATACTTTATTTGTATAAACCTTGAATTATAGTACGTTACTTCTATTTGATCCAAAACACGACTACATTTGATTGCCGAGTAAAACTTAACTTTTACTTTGACTTTTCAAGATAATGGTTATTTATTATATTTTCTGCAATTTTTAACTTGGAAAGTCATTTTAGTGATAAAACGTTTTTAAAGTTGAATTTTACAGAGCAGCAGTCAGGGATAGGGCTTGCTCGAGTTGAAATCGCAACCGCAGTGTTGCCCGAATTATTCAAGTATTATGTTCTGTGTGAATTTATAGCAACGTATTACCAGTTGGGCAGTTGCAACAGTGTTGCAACAGTCTGTGTTCGTCAGTGCGGCAGTAATGCCGCTTTTATTACGTACGTAGTCGGCAGTGGCTGAGCATGCTAATAGCTCTGAAGTGTCGGGTTCGAATGCCGTCAGGCACTTCATTATTTTTTTTTTCGAACCATGAAAAAACATCTGTGAAGTGCAGAAGGAAAACGTATTGAACGACAAATTCAATAAGAAAATTTTCAGAAAAACAGCCAAAACAATTTGCGATTCTTGTCTGTACATACATTTCTGCCGTACACTTTAGTGGAAAAACGGATCATCAAAGTATCCGAAAATCGAATCGGTAAACGGACGAAATCCGCATTTCATCCACTTTTTCCTTTTTCGGGCTTGAATCGTAACATCCGTTCACGGATCGAAAACGATACTAAAGAAAATTACGTGATACGTCAGGCAGTATAAGCTGAATCGGGACAAAGAGTACGTTCACGTATGTAATGATCCGAAAAATGCCCTGGCTAGGTTAATATCTGTCATTTTATTTACAAGACAAAACACATTGGGATCATATACATACATAAATAGCTGTACGTACATATTTATGTTCTGCCACAAGAGGAAATTTAACAAAAGAAATTAAGCTAATTTTTTTAACGGTTAGGGCTCGATATGTACTAAGTAAATAAATAAAAAAAAGGTTTTTTTATTGAGAGCGAGAGCGAAGCTCAGAGCGAAATCAAATACCGGAGCAGTGCTAGAGCGGAGCGATGAAAAAAAACCTTTGCTCCGATGCCCTGGTTGGAACAGCGTTCTTTAAATACAGTTTTAAACGCTAAAACCTGCTTCTAACTTTATTATGATTACTAGCCATGATAGTTTTAAACATTACAGTGAATATTATGTATGTGTTTACCGAGCAAATAAACGAAATATACTATAGAAAGGTAATTATTAAACATACCTAAATACATATGTAATCAAACGCCAATTACTATATATGTATATTTTAAATTTTATTTCCGCTTATGTTCAGTCAAATGTTTGTTCTCTTATTATCATTAACTACAATTTTGAATTTAGTGTTACCGTTTTTTGCATATTTTTCACTAATTACGCGTCTACTTGATTAACATTCTATAACTATTACATTATTACTCGTAGCATTAGCTCTTCTTAATCGATTACTTCGTTGAAATTTATAAGTAGATATAGATGACAGACGATAATATATATGTATTAGATAGTGGATTGTTCGCTGAAATGTCAATTTTGTAGTAATGAATAGATGTAGTTAATTGTTGAGATTAATCCTCGGCATTTGCAAGTTTCTTCCAACGTTCCATAGAGCTGAGTTACAACATTAAAAATTTCGTTTCGAACTCTGATCATGAATATATGTTTATATATGTATGTATGTAATTTATTTGTTGTGAGTTAGTCGTCGATACACAATGGAAACACCGAAGTTTTGATTGTTATGGTCGAAAACGTGATGACATTGCAATGCAAACAATTATAGTCGTTCGAATTTAAAAGTTATATAAATACAACATTTTTTATATATTTTCTATCTCAGGAAATTACTTCATTCACAATTTTACGTAAGTAATCCCCACAATAAGGTGGCTTAAATTAAAACTCTTTGCACTTAAGAGCGAAAAGAAACTAATCCTAGATTTCCACTAGGCATTAAATGGCAAAAATTACAAAATTGGGCATTAAAAAATAATCGTGTTATTACGTTAAAAAANATAGATGTAGTTAATTGTTGAGATTAATCCTCGGCATTTGCAAGTTTCTTCCAACGTTCCATAGAGCTGAGTTACAACATTAAAAATTTCGTTTCGAACTCTGATCATGAATATATGTTTATATATGTATGTATGTAATTTATTTGTTGTGAGTTAGTCGTCGATACACAATGGAAACACCGAAGTTTTGATTGTTATGGTCGAAAACGTGATGACATTGCAATGCAAACAATTATAGTCGTTCGAATTTAAAAGTTATATAAATACAACTTTTTTTTTATATATTTTCTATCTCAGGAAATTACTTCATTCACAATTTTACGTAAGTAACCCCCACAATAAGGTGGCTTAAATTAAAACTGTTTGCACTTAAGAGCGAAAAGAAACTAATCCCGGATTTCCACTAGGCATTAAATGGCAAAAATTAAAAAATTGGGCATTAAAAAATAATCGCGTTATTACGTTAAAAAAAAGTCATTAAGTTCATATCCCCATTCCGACTTTACTTATTTTTTTTTGAATGGCATACATATTTTGTCATTTCAATGCCTAGTGGAAATTCGGCATAAGAAAACACATATCCAACTAAAAAATAGCATCCAGATTCATAAATAAATAATAAAGAAGACTTTAAATGCTTTATAAATCGACAAATTTTATGAAAATATCACTTTATAAAGCTTTTTAAATCTATTTTATTTTTTTATGAACATGGCCATTAAAATATAGCGAAGGTCGGTAACGAAAATTCACAAATAAGCTAAACTAAACTAAAAAAAAAAACTAACTACCTAATAACTATTTGACAGAAGAGGGCGTATAATTAGTAATAATAATTATTTAGCATCGCAAGCGTTCAATTTGTTATGTTGTACGAAGTGAAGCACACACGAGCAAAATCTGTCACAATTCTATTCCTGAAATTTACGCTACTGGCCAAATATTCGACTGACTGATGGATCAACTGCTTCAGTGGCAGCGATCTCAAAAGCTGTCAGCATCACACCACAGCACGAAAGCAGCACCGCTGCACAGCGCTTGTATTTAAGAAGGCGCGAAACAAACAAACTGTTTACACGTTTTATAAATTAAACCTAAAAATAACTTAATTAATTTCACATTGCTACAGTAGCGAGTACCACAGTTATGTCGTCAGGTTTGCCGCCTGTAAAGAAAATACCAAGAGATACAAGATGTTATT